GCACCTTTATTTGTTTACAGCTTACCTACATACTTATGTGTGTGGGAATGTTTATATGTTTATTTATTACTTGCAGTGAAAAGTTTTGGTGCACCTAATTTAGGTACAATCAATATAAAAAGTTCGCCTGGAGCCCTGTGCAGTCCCTCAGCAGGGTGTTTCTTTGCCTTCCTGTGCATGCTGGGAGAGGCTGGAGTGCCCAAGGCGCCCAAATACATGAATGAACGAAATAAATAAATCATTTTGCTATGGTTATGTTGTTTCTGCTGTATTTTGCAGACTAGTGTATCTGAGCCAATAAAGAAGAATAAAGACATTTAATTCACTTTACGCCTTCCTTATCAACAGTAGTTTGGATATTTGGCCGTTTAAATCTAACTTGTCAGCAAATCCTCACTACAGAGACAATGTGAGACACCACTAAAGTGTTTAGGATCAGACTTTTCTTTTAGCTGACTGGCTTTCTGTTGAGTTTGGCTTTTCTATTTGACCCCTTTGGACATAAACATCCTTGTGGAATTTAAATATACATAAAATATTCATTCATTGCTTATTTGTATTCAGCACAGAAGGGAGTTGGAACGTATCTCGGTACGGATTGATAGAAAAACTGTGAACCACCCTGGACAGGTCAGCAGACCACCACAGTCTGACTGTGGGGAAATAAAGAGCCTCCAGAACAGCAGGATGTATGTCTGTAGAATCCACTTTCACACAGGAAGAACATGAGAACGCACAGACACATGTAACAATGCTGAGTCACTATCTATAGGCACACTAGAAAAATTTCTGTATATATTTACAAATCAAATTAGCTGCACTGAACCAAAGAAATGATCTAAATTTAATCAGTCAATTATACATTTTATTTTACGTAATTTGATTTTTTTGTTAATCTTTTTGATGGCATCTGAATGAATGGCATCATGTCTGAATGACCACAATGGTCTTTTTTCCACAAAAGTGGAAACATCAATCTTACTGAATCAGATCCTCCAACATTTCCGTATCACTTTCAACACTGTACAAGCCTGAACGGCATGCAGTCGCATTAACAGATAGGCCCACAGAAGTGATGTAAATTGAGATGTGCAAAGCAATTTAGCGAAACCTTTAATAACAATTTTGGTTCAAAAACATTACAGAGAGCTCAAAAGACACAGTTCCTTGGCAAAATGGCAAACACTTGTCTCACCCATTTTGCTTAGCTGTTTTTCTATTGGGCTGCAAACTGAAACATGCAAAAAAACTAAATTTTACTGCGATGAAGTCTCCAACAAGCCACCTTAATGAAGAGTCTTTCCTCCGAGTTTGTCCAAAGTGAGCAAGTTATGCACATTTTGGCATGTGTGACAGCAGTAAAATGTATTAATTACTTATAAACTATCCCCAGCATGTAAACTGGATCAAAAGGCAAGTCACACTGTGCACTTTCCTTTCAGACAGGGGAGCTGTCACACAGAGTTCATCCGCTGCAGTTAAATCATTTGTTACGTAGCGGCCGTCCTCAGGTTGAGTCCTGAGCTCCATCACAGCTGTTGGAATGTTTGTTGTTTTTAAAATTAAATTAGGAGTTAGATTATCATCACATGTGAACAGCACCTTTAGCCTGAAGAGAGAACTTTAGAGAACTAAACTAACAGTGATTTTAACAGTGTGATAAGCAGCTATTAGTTCAGATTGAGTCTTTTGTTTATTTGCACATTAATTATGCATTCTACATCATTTGATGTAATGTCCACTCTCTCGTGCATGCATACTGCCGCTCCTTCCATCACTGTTGTTGGTGTGTCTGAATGAAGCTGTGACTAACATGAATATAAAAGTATCTTACGTCTGAACACCTGAATGCCATCACTTTAAAGGAATAATAAAGCCAGCAGCGCTACATATCCTATACCTGAGAGGGTTCAAATCTATCTGGAAAGCAAATCTATTCGAATTTGAAGAAGAAAACTGATATTTTCTTCGTATGATCAGGTTTTCTATCATGCTGTCATGATGCAGACAATTCTGGAAATGGCTCAGCTTCCTCTCGTGAACACAGCCCTCATTGTTTTCAGTGAATGGTCGATTCATGTCTTGCTTCTACATGAGCCGCTCCATTCAGCTGCACGGAGTAAGGATCGTTCAGTTCTTGTATTATGCCAAGACATCAAACGTGACTGACTTGGTCACCGATCTTTTCCTTGAAGTTTGAAGCACTTTTTTCATGTTGGCATTTATACAGCTGCACACATTCACATCTGGGAACGGCCACTCCCACTGATGGAGATCAGATACTGGCATACCTGAATGCCAATTGTGAACTTTACAAGTAGAACTTCTAGCAGTAACACATGCCTTCTGGCTATGGTTGATAATAATAAAAAAATAACTAAAGCTTTACTATACATGACAAAATGAAGGTAGTCAATAATTAATCTATTATTAATTAGGGAGTACAAATGCTTACAAGCAGACAACCAACAGTTATACAAGATCTGTAAAAATCAGTCTTTAAGAAGCAAAAGGTTTCTAATAAGGCTGCTTTCCAGGACACGTACCAAACGTAAAAAAAATAAATAAATTGTTTGCTTCTAACAAAAGCACACAGTACAGTAAGCTGTGCAGTGCTGGAGCTGATTCTTTGATGCTCCAAACACTGACCCTTGGACCCGCCACATCATTTAGACAAATTCATGTGTGTGTTCTAATGCTTGCCTTACGTAAACTTGTCATCTCAAAAATAAACGTCAGCTTCCCTGACCTGTTCTGAAGGGGGTGTTTGATGTAGGCCTCTGGGCTCACAATCTCCTGTCCGGGTTCCTCAGCTCCATCTTCATCAGGCTGGGGTGGACTCGGGTTGGTTTCCTAAAAAAAAAAACCCCACAAATAAACATTATAGAGTGGGAACAGACAGGGTATTAGGGAGGAAGGCAGGAGGATTCAGAATGAAATTTTCTGTGCTCCCTTGTGTCCTGTTATAGCCGCATGGACTTCACGAGGAGGTTTCCACTTGTTGAACCATTTATGCTAACTTTCATAGTGATAGCAACAAACACAAAAAGCCCATTTAATCACATAGCAGCGCCTAAATAAATTCAAAGACAGAAGCGTTCATTTATGAAACCTGATATGAACATCTGGAACACATTTCTCTCTCATGTGAAGCAAGAGGTTGGGTAGCTAACTCAAGCTAATAACCCTCAGGGGCATAACAGTTAATAATTTCTATGCCATGTTCACAATATTTGTTCATAAACGAAGAGAACAAGGCGAATTTTCCATTCATAGCTGACCACTTTTCCGACAAAGTTACAGTTTCATAAAAAAAACTAAAAAACTAAAATTTACAACCAGTGTCAGTTTCGACATGTAAATTACGTAATGTCAAGCACCGTTTCCCCCCCCCTCCTCGCAAACAACATTTAAATGCGCCCCTTTAGCTGTTTCACCATCAGCTACTAAAATAGCTAATGTTGCATCGTAGAGGTCAGCAAGGACCAGTGTCTACCAATGACAGTTTTTACCTTCAAAACCAACTCCTACCTGTATATAATGCGTTATTACACGTGACGAATTTTTTTTGGGTTATTTTAATGAATAAACATAACTTTTTAAAAAACACTTCTTGCGTGTGTTGTTCACTAAACACGTCAACAACACTAAAGTGACTAATTTAGTAATGGACGTTTGTGTGGTTCACGCGGACGGCACGTCGGTTAGCAGTAACGTCAGCCTTAAAGTTGGGAGATCTCCACACACAGGCATTCCTGTTTTACGCCTAGGTCGTGGCACAGAAGACAAACTTGAAACTACTCGAAACACCACGTTCACATGCACCGGCGGTCAACTATCGCTAACGTACTACAGTTTAAAAGTCGTACGTAAACTTTAAATGTGATATCGGTCCGTAATTTCAGCAAGAAGCCCCCCCATATGTTTTGATATGTTCTTTACAGAAAGTGCTCACCGGTTCGGCTGTCGCCATCTTACAAATCTCTGTTAGGAAAGTTTCTGTTGATTGGACCGAGCTGCGCAACGTGACGGCGCAGCACCCGCACATGCGCAGTGCGTGCCGCCGCCTGGCCGGCTGCTTGTCGGCGACTCCACCCCTCCTGCAGACGAAGGCATGGCGAGCACCGAGGCTAGAAGGGAGTGTGAGACAGAGGGCTGCAGCAAGGACGCTAAACTTCAGTGTCCCACATGTATCAAGCTTGGTATTCAAGGCTCCTATTTCTGTTCACAGGTACTGCTGCTTTTTTCGCTTTGTCCGGCTTTAGCGGTGGCCACACACCTGGGCCCTCTGTCTTATCACGAGGCTGCTAACTAACTGTCAAAGCTACGCAGACATGTGTGTTTCAGGAGCTCGGTAAACCCGCTAATAACGCATTTGCTAAACGTTAACGAAGGCGCGTTTGGGTGTGTAACGATAGACAGACTGCTGAAGATAAATAATGCAGCCAGCGATTGTAACCGATGCTATCTCTGTCACAGTAGGCCGAGAGAAACGTTTAGCTAGCTAACTGTTGGCTAAAGTGAGTGGTATAACGTCCTTGCTCTAAATAAGAGCTCGTGGTGTGAAGTTGTTTCGCTGACAGGGTGAAACGGTGTATGAAAAACTGTGTGTTGTGTAAGAACTGTTTTTTTTTTTAATGCACTACATGCAGGAAATAAAACTTAAGTTGTAAAGTGCTACAGAGATCACTAGTGCCACGATGTTTGACCCTCATCCTGGTACTTTTTTCCCACGAGACCAAACCCCACTCAAAAATCTGTCAATTTAAGGATGACTTGTTCATGTCATGCTTGGCTGAATATCACACAAGTCCTAAATAGAAGCTGCTCTCCACTTGTTATACAGATGTGCAGGACTTGTTTGAGTAACATGACAACTTTTAGTACTGGCAGAAGTATTGCAAGTTGCAGTTATGCTTTGCTAAAATGCTTCGTGGGAGTCATGTGGTGGGTATTGCGTTGATCAACTTTGTGGATTCAGTTTTGTGGCTGATGCCACTTTGAAAAAAGGTCTCTGCCATTAAACATAAAACTACAGCAAGTTCCCTCTTTGCAGCGATGCTCTGTTAGATCTTCTGCTGCATTAGATCAACCGTAGATCTAATGTGCTGTACTTTATATTCAAAACCTCTATAAATAGTTGGGTTCGGTGGCAGCCCCAGTTCCCTTGTGGTGCCATGGTATTTGACCCTAAAGGTCTCTGCTGTGATGGCACTTTTGGCTGTGCAATCTGACTCTGCTCTCTATGGTGCCAGTCTCTCTTTGCTGGTAATTGTCCAAACCATAAAATGAATGAAATTAATAAATTGTAGCCTGATCATAACAAGAATACACATAGAGACACATATTATATATAAAGTCTTTATTTATGGTTGACTGTGTTTTTTTTTCCCTGATATTGATGCTGATTCTCAGTAACGCCTCTGCATTTTGCACAGATTGCTGGCATTTTATGCCTAAAATAACTGATTAATATTAATGCTGGTTAACCTAAAATAACAAGTAATAAAAAAAGTTAGATGCAGCCTGTATTTTATTTGCATTTAATTGTATTATCTATGAGCTGCAAGGTGGCGCAGTTGGTTAGCACTGTTGCCTCGCAGCAAGAAGGTTCACGTCCCGGTGGGGGCACCAGGATCTTTCTGCGTGGAGTTTGCATGTTCTCCCCGTGCAGCGTGGGTTCTCTCCGGGTTCTCTGGCTTCCTCCCACACAGTCCAAAAACATGTTGAGGTTAATTGGTGATTCTAAATTGTCCGTAGGTGTGAATGTGAGTGTGCTTGGTTGTCTGTCTCTAAGTGTAGCCCTGTGATAGACTGGTGACCTGTCCAGGGTGTCCCCTGCCTTCACCCTAAGTCAGCTGGGATAGGCTCCAGCGCCCCCCGCGACCCTAGTGAGGATTAGGTGGTGTATAGATAATGGATGGATGCGTGTATTATCTATCATCAGAAATTCAATTATCATGCATACAATTGTTCAACATTGGTAAAGTGTACTCTGGAGTGCAATTTGTACTGTATTGAAGGTTGTATAATAATTATTTTCCTTTCCAGGAATGTTTCAAAGGAAGCTGGGCATCTCACAAGCTGCTGCACAAAAAAGCAAGTAGGTATCACTGTCAGTTATGTTCTCTGTTGTGCTCTTTCACTTTATATGAATAAGCTTCATTGTATTCACACATAGGTTAACAGTACAGAAAGAGCATTTAGAAACAACTGTAGTCATGCATGTTCATTTCAGAGCTGTTTGTCAAGAGTAGTTGATGTTCCTTGACTGTGAACTGACACAGTGGTGCCAGATGCTTTAGAGACTTTATGTTGTTTTCTTTCTCCAGAGGAAGACAAGAACCAGAATGAATCTAAGAACTGTGTGGAGAGAGACATCAACACAGACCCATGGTCTGGTTACCGCTATACAGGAAAACTACGCCCTCACTACCCACTGGTTAGTTCTTCACTATTTACACAGCTTTTTGTATGTGTGGATCATTAAACGACTAATGGATGCGTCACAGCTGCACACCACATCATCACATGTTTTAAAGCTTGGAAACATCCAAAACAAAGCCACATCCTCGTCTTTTTGAATGTTTCAAGTGAAAACACAGACACTAACATGAAATGAATCTTGTGACTTGCTTCAGGTATTTTCTTATGTAAATGCTGATATATGTGAACTTGGTGATGTAAGCTGTCTGTCTTCTCCTTGTCCCACATGTAGACTCCTATGAGGCCTGTGCCTGGTGACATCCAAAGACCCGACTATGCCGATCATCCCAGAGGTAACCAGGTCTCTTTCTTATGGAAATGTATTTTTAGTTCCTCATATTGGCTCAGCATCCATTTGGAAAGTGTAACTTTCTTTTTTAAAACTGTCTATTTTTTTTCCATGCATGTGTACAGTGTGCAGGCAAATGCAATTTATTTTTATTGTCTTCCAAACAATGCTGTCAGTTCAACATTTTTTTTTTAAAGTAATCATTTTAAGTACTTACAGTCTCTTTGTGTGTCCCGATTTAACTGGCAAAGGTGTCCTTAGATTAATTTTGTCTGTCCAACATTGTGCTTTAGAGCTGTCATATCCTACAAGTTGCTCCTAAAGTAAGATTCTTAATACATTTTGGTAGTATTTTATGTGGTGGGGCTTTAAACTGTCGCCTTTGCCATTTAAGAGGTCTGTTGTTTGTTAATTGTGGAAAAGCTGAAAAAACAATTGTCACCCGGCGACCACATTGTCAACAAGACTTTGATTTGTGTAGCTACATCTACTGGAGTCTGTAGTTGTGTTGGTGGCAGATGAGTAATCACTCAATCAAAGTGCACATTAAGACATTCAAGACCAGAATGCTAGGTTACTACAACACACCAGTTCGTCTCTAGTGGTAAAGATTTTTTACTCGTGAGCGTGCATTAAGAACAGAAACCTGTTGAAAGCCTCTCGGTGCGTTACAGAGGTCTTGACAAAGCGCTCACTCATGCGTGTGTTTTCGTTTTTGCATGAATACACAGATGATACACAGATGTCTTGTGCTATTGGCTGGAGAACTGTCCACAAACATGATAGTCTGAGCCGCCCCAAAGGCAACGCTGACGTTAGGACCGAACGAAGATCAAGACCAGCTTAGTTGTATCTGAAACGCAGTAGTTAACTCAGCAGTCTCTGCCGCTAGTTCATTGACAGTTTTACCTAACTAAAGAAATCTGTGCAGCTGTGGTGTGTTGTCATTTAAAACCAGCAATTTGCACTTGCGCTCATGCATTTGAACCGTTATGTGGTTTGAGCAAGTGACTGAAATCTGTTTACAGCTGCAGAATTACATGTTTGCTCACAGCTGGAATTGGCAGCACCAGTATTATTTCACTAGTGTGACTGTCATTCAGTATTTCTATAAAAACGTTGCTCAGTGGGGCTTTCATGAAGGTGGTTGGTTTCTGGGGATTCATACACAGTACATGCATGCAATTTCTTTAACCACCTTTTTGGTATGTTAACATTTAAGATACATTTAATGTCACGAAGACACATTTCTTCCGCTGACATTTTTGCTTGCCCCAGCCCCAGTAATATCTCACTGTGATCTCTGTCCATTGGTGTCAGATTTACTGCAGGGGAAAGTAAACCTGCTGACAGGTTTGCTGTCATGCTGTGTTTTTTATGACCAGCCTGCTTCTTTTATGTAAATTATCACACATTGTGATAATTCTAACCTGCCTTATATTACATCTATTTCTCTGGGCAAGCCATTCATTGTGCAACCATGGCAACCTCTACATCCTTGTCATCTAACTGCATAGATCCATACTCAGGTAGTCATGGTTACAGTCTCCCTTCATTCTCCTGTGATGCCTATTCAGGGAGTGAAGCACAATTGTTGCAGGCTAATGTTTCCCAACATATCTCTGCTATTGAGCTCCAGTCAACTCTGAAGTGTTTTTCAAATTACCTATAAAACCTTGATTATTACCACAATATAAATAAAAGGAAGCAGACTTAACCTTCATAAAGACGTTATATTGTACACACTGGAATTTTCACATACTTTGCTTCTTTTCTGAGCAGGTAAATCAGAGCGTAAGTACGTCTAATTGATTGTTGCACTCACACTGTAGGCTCCCTGGGTCAAAAGGAGGGCTGTGTTTGAATTGTACACAAACCTGTCTCATGTCTTTGTTGCTAAGCAACTGTTCATGTTCATCCAGCAATCATCTTGTTGAGTTAATAAATTATAGATTTGCGAATTCCCGATGACGTCAGTGCTTTGACCAACACATGTTTGTTTCCACTTTCCAGTCCAATAATAATGCCTGGATGTGCTTGAATCTGTAGATGGATTACTAGTCGCTTCATTCATTGCCACACTGACTTGACTACCTGAAATCTGTGCTTCTGTTGTCCTCCATGTAACAGTCCTGCTCCGTTCTTCTGAGTCGACAGTGTGAGTGTCATTAGTCTGCCTCTGCTCAGATGCTGGAGCTGTAGTTGTAGTTTCTGCAGCAGCAGCTAGTTATCCATAGCACTGCAAGACGCTTTTATGTTTGTTAGATATTCATGAGTTAGGCTGGAAAAATGTCAAAACAGGAGCTCTATGGATTACGTAATGTATGAACAGTATACACTCCCTAAGCGCTTTCATCAGGAATCCCTGTGCAGTGGAATCCAATCCAACAGCTCTGGTGTAAAATGCAGTTGATAGATTTTCATTTTTAATTGATATTGTCATAATTGCTGAAAATGTAAATGTAGGGGGAAAAAAACAGAAATGTAGAAAAAGGTCTGCGTTGTTAGAGGTTTAAAAAAAGTAAATTTAAGTCATAAAATTATACACATTTTGAGTATTAAAAAAAAGAATTTATTGACATCAATAAAAGCCCCTTTTATCAAACAGTGCAGCTCAAAAGACAATTCCGATCTGTGATCCAAGGGCACGGGCTGCCGGTGGCACGCAGCGCGAGTAGTATAAAGTTAAACTCCTCGACATCAGCAGTCTTCCTCTGATACGTCAAAAGTGACGTTCCTGTCGTACAAACAAAGAGAATATGTATGTAGCAATTAAACTTTTATAGCGACAGCTCTCGCCAGCCCAAGCTTTCTGACAGTAGACTCGGCTTCTGCTGTAGAGAGTAGGGTTCTCTGCAAATGTGCATTTGTTCTTTAAAAGGTGTGTTTCTGTTGATTCATTAATAAAACAAAACAACTTGTGCTGTTGGTCTGGAGTTGCATTAATTATGTACTGTTTGACCTGTTGAAGCTGTCAGGAGTCAGACATCGCAGAAGGTAAAACTTATGGGTTATTAAAGATGGACATGATGCTAAGCTGCAACGCTGGTGTTTTCTTGCTTTTGGTAGCGGTTCAAATTTTGAAGGTAGAGTAAGAATGAAATGTGCCTTCTCAGTAGCAGATGATTCATTCAACTGTCACTTTTGATAGAAGAACATAATTGATTAGGAGAATGTAAATCCAGCTGTGACAGTCTGGAAATTGATAGAGTGACAGCAGCTGCTTTTACTTGCAAGATCCTAGTGAAGCTGATGAGCTCTTTCAACTGAGTATTGACATGTGAGTGATGCCAGTTGTCTGTCCTTGTTTCCTCCCCACAGGGATGTCTGAGTCCGAGCAGGTTTTGAAGGGAACGTCACAGATCAAGATCCTTTCCCCCGAGGACATTGAAGGCATGAGGGTCGTGTGCAAGGTAATGTAATGTAATAATCTATGGTGTTTTTAGAAATTGAATGCAGCTTGGTTTTGACACATGCGCTCTTTGCAGCTGGCACGAGAAGTCCTGGACATCGCTGCTGTGATGGTGAAACCGGGTGTAACAACAGAGGAAATTGACCACGCTGTACATCTGGTATATACACACACACACACACCAATGGGTTATAAAGCCTGGAATGTTTTGTCTTTTGGGTGAACATACAATATGATTCAATGTGTTGCAACTTGGGTCATGTTAGGATGTGTGGACGCAAGCAGTATCACAAATCCCCAAGCCCAATAGGTAGCTTAAAGAAATAGGATATGCAGGTTTCTGTGGGGAGAGATTTTTTAATTTTTAAATGACACTTAAATTAAAGTCATTTTTACAACACTAGGCCTGCAACTGACATTTGATCAGCAGCAATAAGAAAACTGTTCAATAGAATGTTTGACAGCTACACTTACAAATCGCCATGAAAGCACATAACAAAAACATAAGGTTGTTTCCATGAACAAACCCCAAGCATGCCTCCTCCCTGGCTCATGACCAGCCTATCATACCGTGACCTTTAGCCCCTTTGCCCTCCATCGCTGTTCCTGTGGCTCCCATGCAGGTCTCCAAAGGCCCACTAGTCTGTGGTAGCCTCAGCCTCTCCTCACCCCCATCCACAGACCTTCTTCCCTGGTGCAGGCTGGAGGTGATGTGGATCAGTGGTTGCCCACAACCCTGTGTCATTCATCACCTCCACCTAGCTTGTCTGGGTGCAGAGGCCAGTGTGGGGTCCCCTCATCTGGTCCAGACCAGCCATTAAGAAGCTTCAGCTCAGCATAGTTCACAGCAGCTTCACCCTGGTCTCCGTCTTACTGCTTCCAGGGTTTTATTTGCTTTATGAGGTGGTTATATTCAAAATAAACCTCCTTTCTCCTGGTCATTATTAAAAAAATAGGTGGTTAGTAATGATCAATATCGACTGATATGTAACATTTTATCTTGATCATTTTTTCATCTGCATCAGTCCTTGAAAAATCTGTGTAAGACACAAATTATAATTCAAAGCAGAGTAATTTCAAAAGTCTTAATGCATGGATAAGGGGACTTAAAATCTCAACTACTGGATGGATTGGCACATTTTGTTTGACATTAGTGTCCTCCAGATGAAGTATCTTCCAGATGCGGGTGTTCTCCTGACTTTTCTGACGTCTTTGGCTCTGAGTGAAATGTCTCAACAGCTGTTTGATGGATCACCATGAAATGTTGGACAAACATTCACGTCCCTCTCAGGATAAATTGTCATAACCGTGACAACACGTTCCATCAGCTACAGCTGTGCTTTGTGTCGAATGCTAATTTTTAAATGTTAGCATGCGAACATTCTAAAATACTGCAGGAAACTTCTCTGTGACTGTTGTCAGTGTGAGCGTGTTTACATGCTGACGTTAGCATTTAGCTCAAAGCGCAGCTGTCGCAGTGTGCAGCCTCACAGAGCAGCTAACGTGGCTGTAGACACTTAGTCTTGTTTAATCGATTTAATAAGTGGTGCGGAACAGACACCGCTAATAAATAATGCAAGAGGGAGTTACTACATGTAAACAGACGTCCCCGCTTTGGAACTTCAGCTTTGTTTTTACAATATCCCGACTTCTTTACAGATGCTCAATCACTCATCTAATGTATATATATAAACACACAGTTCACCCTGTAGGGCGACTGGATACAGAGATGTGATTTGAGCCCACGCTGTGACTGTGTTCATGTCTATAGGGCAGCTACATGAGGAGAAAACAGTGACGGATCTTTATTATGTGTCATCCATTTTTGAGTTACTGACTTGTTACCTCACTGCTGTCTTTATAACTAACATACTTTGTCTGATTAGGCCTGTACAGCAAGAAACTGCTACCCCTCCCCTCTCAACTACTACAACTTCCCCAAATCCTGCTGCACGTCTGTTAATGAAGTCATCTGCCACGGCATACCGGACAGAAGACCACTGCAAGACGGAGATATCCTCAACGGTAACCTCAGTGCACTGCACTGCTTCTCACATCTATCACACCTTTAATGTTTTATCCTGTGTTTAACTTGGAAACCCTCTGACCAACCTAACATTTGCCTTTCCTTAAATTTCCATATTTAAACACCCATTTTTTAAAATATAGTCATAATCTCTTTGTCAAACCAAGTTCTAGGAATAGTTAAGCTAAGTTTGGATGGAGGGAAATGTTTTATTAACAAGAGCGGGAGGAAAAAAAGATTTCTCTTCCGTGACAAATGGTTGTCCCAGCATCCTGAAATGGTGTCAGCAGGAGTTTGGCCAATTTTAGGTTCTTTATGAATATTTCTGCTAAGGCGATGTCTTCCATCCGCCACTCCCCTCAGAGTGTCTGATGGAGTGCTTGCCAGCAACTCATCTCTCGCTGCGTGGCCCGACAAGACAAATTGTTTCATTAACCTTTACCAGTGGGGCTTTGCTAGTCAGATTCTCTGCTCTCTATATTTCTCCTTAAGTGGGAAAAGTCCCAGTTTGCACACTAGCGGTTCCAATTCCGTCAGCAATTTTTAAAAAAAAAAGAAGGAAATTTTGTTTGGCCTTGCAAATGTACACATTATCTAAAAACACGCTCCCTATCGTCACTAAATGCTTCAGGCAAGTTATTCATCACGGTGTTTGCTTTGTGTTGGACACAATAGAATCTAGTTTGTCATGCAACACAATGACTCTGACGTATTCATCTTCCCACACGTTCACAGTGGACATCACTGTCTACCACAACGGTTTCCATGGTGACCTCAACGAAACCTTCTATGTCGGAGAGGTGGATGAAGGGGCAAAGAAACTGGTCCAGACTACATATGAATGCCTTATGCAAGCCATTGACTCTGGTAGGTACTGCAGCGCATTTTCTTTTGGTTTTGTGACTTCACACAGTGACGTCGGTGTTTTATCCAATGAGACAGAATGTGACTGATGGGTGCGTTACTCAGCTAGTACTGTAGCAGCAGCAGTGTTCGACTCTTAGGACACAGCAGTAAGGTGTGAGCGATAAAGGTGGGGATGAGCGACCTCACCTAAAGATCATATGACAAACTTTTAGGGCAGAATCATCATCAATCATCACAATTTCCCCCCCATGTGATCACATGACTGGTTGTGCCTATGGCTGCACAGATACAAAGTCTGTCACCTAAACTTGAGGCAAATGGCCCGACTTACAAACCTGTTCATTCTGTTTCCACTCTTCAGGGATGATTCTAATCTCTGCTGCTTTAGCACTTGTTGAGTTTTCACCCTATAAGATTTCCTGCATAATAGCTATTGATCATTACAGAGCTTCTGTCACAGAGGCACCAACTGATGTTCAGCTTCACAAGAAAGGAGATCTAAACATGATTCCAGATGGCTGTTTGATGCAAAGATACACAGTAGTAAACAACTAGCACGAGAACTGGTATCATGCATCTTTATGATTCATTACAAATACAAAGCCCCTCACTCACCGCTGCATTCTTTATGATCTGGTAGGTTGGACATCACTGACAGGCAACAGCACTGGTACACTTTCATTTATAAAGCAATATTGGGCAAACTTCCAGTCTACCTTTGTAACCTTCCCCATGTCAGCTCTGTTAGTTACCAGCTTTATAGATAACATCATAACTCTGATAACATGTTGCCAGATATGAGTAAATAACTGCCTTTAAATGTGCAGGGTCAATAAATATCACACATGGTGCCACAAAGGTTTTAGCAAGACTGTCAGCATAAACTGCACTGTACTGAAAATGAGTTATCAAATCGATTATCAACAGGGGAGAAAACGTACACTGATTTCTGCTCAGACACTCGTCATTTAATGATCAATAAAGGGTTAAAATGAAATGCTGATGCTGCACCAGCGACGGGGGTCACATAAGGAACTACGTGACTGGCGTAAACAGTGGCGATCCACATTCACAGTCTGCACAGTCTCTGAAAAGAAGAACTCGCAAAGCTTTTTTTCAGGATGTGAGTCCACTTGCCAGTTTTTTCATCCGCCACGCTTATTTCTGTTTACAAAATAACTTTCTCCTCCAAGATGCCCAGTGCCTCCAGTGAGCATCATCTTTATTGTGTCATGGCTTTGCTACGTTCAGGTGGAGTAAGAAAAAGTGTGCTGTTAATTCCTTAGTGACACCATCTGTATGATTCCTCTGAATGCAGATTATATTTCAATATATAATCGTTGCATCGTCCACCTCTAGATAAGGATGTAGCCTTGGACTAAAGACAGATGTCACCCCACTAATGATATATTAGTGTCAATATATGTTGCCCTGATGAGTAACAAGAATTTGCAATTCAAGAATGCCAATGTATAGGCAGTGTTGGCGTTACATAGTTTGTCCACTAGAGTGCAATTCCATTGTAGAGCAAGTTGGAACTGATGGGTCGTTCTATACGTTGGACAGGTTTCTGTTTTTGAGCTGTTTCGCAGATCATCCTTTAAGCTAACCTGGATAAAGACTCCTTAACGTGCTGAACAATCTGCAGATTTTGATCATCTACATTTGCATGACAAATGGGAGCTCTATCTGCTGAGGAAGTTGATGCAATGTGATTAAAAATAGAGCTGCAACGAACGATTTTCTCCATTATCAGTTCATGTGAATCATTATTTTACAGTGTGTGGAATATCAAAAAATAGTAAAAACAGGTTCCAGTTTCCTACAGCTCAAGGAAAATATCTACAAATGTCCAGAATACAAAGATGTTCAGTTTAGCGTCCTGTCACACAAAGAAAAGCGTTTTATCCTGACACAAGTGACGCTAAAACTAGCAAGTGTTTGGCATAAAATGTTTGAGACATTTTGTTAAAAATAACAAATTAAACTCTCAAATAATCGACATCAGCGTTGACATTCCAGTATGCATCGTGAAATGAACCGAGCCCTTTGCTCCCCTTTCCTCAGTGAAGCCTGGCATTCGCTACAGAGAGTTGGGTAACATCATCCAGAAGCACGCTCAGGCCAACGGCTTCTCCGTGGTGCGAAGCTACTGTGGCCACGGCATCCACAGACTTTTCCACACCGCTCCCAATGTGCCACACTATGCCAGTGAGTAGCTGCGTACCCGCCATCAATATTAAATTTGTTAAGGTTCCATTGCAGCTGCGTGACTTCGGTTCTCATTAATTACACAGAAAACAAAGCAGTTGGAGTCATGAAGCCTGGCCATGTGTTCACCATTGAGCCCATGATATGTGAAGGTGAGTGTAACCTTTATATGAGTAATTATATTTATAAAGATAAGCTCCATCCAATTCATATGAAAATGACATCATTGCCTTAATTAAACAAGTAAAGTTGTAGCTATTATGTACAACTAGAGTCAAAGAGACAGTAAAATAAGAATGAAGAGAAAATGTTGTGAGAAATCTCAGAGTTTTTGTAAGCAAAGAAAGACTGTTTTCAGTCTTGTAACAATGTGTTTTCCAAGTAATCCAGTCAAGATATAAAGTGATTTATTTGGCTTTTGAAGTAGAAGTTTCTCAGCCCTTAAAGAAACTCTTTATTCTTAAGTTTATCTGACCAGATTTGGAGATCCATAAATTTCTTGGGTGAGCAACAAACATAAATACTCATCTTAAAGCAAGTTTGTTTAACAGCCAAACTTCCCTCAGAGCCAATAACTTTGGCACCTTCCCACTTAAGCCTAGACTTATGAGACAAGCCGAGGCTCCTTATGGACTCATAGGGGGTTAAATGGTGTGTGAGACCCAGTCATGCTTTAAAACGGGTCTTAAAAGCCACTTTATACCTGACAGGTATCCAGTGAGTCCTTGCCAGACTTGGAGGGTTTGTTTCCACGGTTCTGTTTTATTGATGGCATGTAAGCCAAAGCCAAAGAGCGCATCTGTGTCTGTGATGTCTCAGGTGGCTGGCAAGACGAGACGTGGCCCGACGGCTGGACGGCGGTGACCAGAGACGGGAAGCGCTCGGCTCAATTCGAACACACCCTGCTGGTGACGGAGACCGGCTGCGAGATCCTGACCCGCCGCCTCGAGGACAACGGACGCGCTCATTTCCTGAGCCAAGTGTAGGCCGGAGCGGAACGCACCAAGGACTGGACTTTTCCAGACACCCAGCACCTCTGGGTCTCACACACAGAAAAAACACACACTCACACACACACGCACACACGCACACACACACATTTCAAATCAAGAGGCACCACTCCTGGAGCTCAGCATGAGTGCAGCTCTCACGGTTCTTTGAAATAAATATCGGTTCCTCAATCTAAATGGAAGTACTTGAATGTGTCTTATAACAAATGTGGATTGCTTTATTAGTGAAAACTGTATCCTCTGGAGGAAATATAAAAGTATTTATGAGATTTGGTTTTGCTTAGTGGCTGGCCAGGCTTGACATTGGGCCTGTTTTTAAACTCTGGCTCACCCGGAGCTTTCACTGGCTTGACTAGTTGTCGTCCGTGGCGCGGTGGAGCTCGGGACAAAACTCAACTAGTACAGCACGCTTCGCTTCTTTTCTCTCAGCCTCTGCTAACTCAATCACATCTTATGAATTTACCAGAGATGGATTGAAAAGAATCAGCAATACTAGAGGCACAGTAAGGTTCCAAGACTCGCCAACTCAAAAAATGTAGGCATAAAGAAAACATCTTATTCAAGTTTGCAACTAAAAGCATGCTCAGGCAGCCGTATTGGATCTTGGATCTTCAGTGCCGATGCAACAGAAGCAGAGTTCAGTTAATTTTCTAAAGGTTTAAAAACTGGCAATAGCGCTTTTCTTTTCTTGCCAAGAGTGACATGAGAGGATTGAAACCACTCTCATATCTGTCCTGTTTATGTGAAGCGACAGAGCTTAGCCTGGCTTAAAATAAAGCAAACAAGGGGGAAAAAAACAAGCAGCCCGGCTCTGGCCAAAGTTCAAATACTACAATATATTTGCACCTTTAAAGCTCAGTAATTAATGTGCGTGTTGTTTGTTTAAATTGGACACAAACAAAATTGGCAAAGCCGCGGGCTGTGTGCGCCGCGTCAAGGACTGCTCCTCCACTTTTATTGAGCGGATTAAACAAACAACACATGAAGTGTTAATTAGTGAGCATTAGAGGCATTATTAGCCGGGCGAGCTGTTTCTTCCTGTTTCGTGCTATAAGCTAAACTAACCATCATCTGGCTGCGGCTTTTATCTTCCGGACATGAGAGCAAAAGAAAAAAAAAATAGGGAGTTGATTTTAATGCTTCATACAGGAATCTGTTGGCTAGCTGCTCATAGTGTTGCTGTCCTGTTTCCCCCCGTCGAGGTGTCCAGTACACAAAACCAATTGTTATATCTTGAATGTGGCTATTGTTAGTGCACATCCACTTTGAGAACATCAGCCACGGTTGCTAGGAGAATTGTGACGTAGCCCCAGAGCTTTTACGTAGATATCCAGAATGAGAATAATGAAGTGCTGGACTTGTCTGTCCTGATTGGAGGAATACTCCTTTAGTGTCTCATGTTTCCAATAGCCCCGGTGTAGCAAATTGAGCCTTAACTTGTGAAACTAGGAATTAAAACTTGCTGGATATTTCAAGGCACGTAAACTGGTGTGTCCCCCCCCCACCTCCTCCCCATCTACTCGGCAGTCACCATTTACTTTGATGTGGGGATTTTCCTGGTGCGAGCAGCATTTATTATTTCTACATTTCAGAGGACTAATGTGATCACAGTTTCTCTGCCATCTTTGTATTTCTTCTAATGGAGTAATAAATGACTCTTCTGTAGCTCCTGTGTGGGTGAGTTTGTCCTTGAATAAATCGCTGATCGAAATCCCCAAAGTGGCTTAACTTCAGCAGCCTTTTATTAATGGAAATGAGCGTCTGGGTTCCTGTCGGCCTTAATGCCCGTTTAAACTCAGCGGCGGACACTGACAGCATTTGAGATTTAACTTTTAACACGTTGTTTACTCCCGAGGTGCACATTTAAACTTGTATCTACAAAACGTTCAGCTCTTAATGGTAGAATGAAGGTTTTCTAGGCTGCTGTAAAAACGCTGAAAACTCCTCGCCTGGTTAGTTTCACTTTATTTTAGTGATTAAAGTTTTATAATACTGCTTATGAATTAACTGGATAATGTTTTGCATAATTTGACGACTTTTCATTTAGTGTGGTATGTGAGGTTTTGATTGCAAAAATTCAAGGTTTTCATTTATTAATTTGCACACTGAGCGAGCACAAGTGTAAAATTAGTGATGCACGATATTGAAATTTCTGGCCGATACCGATATCTGATATTAAGATTTCTGATATCGCCGATAACCGATATTATCGATGTCAATATTCAATTTTTGTTCACACTGAAAAATGAGTATAAATAAGCACTGTGAGAACGTGGAAACTATTCAGAAGAAGCCCATACCAGATTAGACCACACAGTCTTTATTACGTAACAAAAGTAAAACATATTTAACTTTGAAGTCCATGACCATTTAAGTAAAAACATCTGTGAAATAGCCGCAATATCAAATGTAGAGACGAAGGCACTAATGTTAGACCAGCGGTCTCCAACCTTTTTTGCACCACGGGCTGGTTTCAAGCAAAGTAATTTTCTACGGACCGGTCATTGCACACATAGCAAATAATATTTTTTTTTTGTATTAAAAAGGTGTCATAAACAAATCAAATTACTTATCATTGCTAAATAAGCATTTACTTTTTCTTCCGTCTCAGCATCTCATCCTCTTTTCAAAGAAGCACTCCCGAAAAGTTTGTTTTTTTTATTCATTTTGGCAGCAGTTAGAATAGATTTAATGGCCGGGCATGAAAACTGACCACGACAAGTGCGGGAAATAAGCACATCCGGGAGTTATGGGAAGACGAAGTAGTCATTTTTCAAAATAAAGCACCCTACAGACTCTGCCGGAAACAAAATAAACCAATAAAACATTTTTATTCTTTCTGTGTGGCCCGGTACCAGTCCGTGGCCTGGTGGTTGGGTACCAGTGGGTTCGACAATCATCGGTTTTTCACATCGGCCAAATTTGTTTATCAGACCGATACCGATATATGGAAAAAAAACACTAATATCGGCCGATACCGACGTGGTCATGCATCCCTACTATGTAAAAAACCTGTGTAACGTTACAGTAGGCGTGCTGCTCATGTTAACTACACCAACGCTTTCCCCTTATGACGAGTCGAAATGTCTGTGACGAAACAGGGCCCATTGAAGTACGGAAATAATTTTAGCTTAATTAACTCCATCAAGCTAAAAAAAAAAAAAGCCGGCAATTCTTTTCAGCGATTGTGTCCTCATTGTCCTTGTTCCTTCATCCGTTTGCCACGCAGGCATCAGACCAGTTTTCATCGCCACAGAAGTACAGAGGAGGGAAAATGACTTTATTCTCCAGGGCTTCCACTGCAGACTGTGAACTGTGCTGCTGGGAAACATTTTTTTCCCTAACTAGGAGTGGCAGAGTTGAGTACAGGGTGTCGTCGAAAATCTCAAAAGTAGGGTACAATTTGAGTCTGGGAACAGTGCTTACGTTGTCGAATCCTTATGAACGAGCGGGAAGACAAAAACCAGGAGTGGTCAAATCCTACAGGGATCAAAAAGTAAATGATACGGTGGAAGTATTTGAACAGTCTGGACTTGATCTGCAGTGTCTTCAGCTCACTTTTATACGACTTTATCAGGCCTCCGTGTCCGTGTTGTTTCCGAATAAGAGTCGCTCAGCAGTTGCGGTTGTACTCCCTTATTATTCATTCAGACTAGATCAAAGAATATCTCTGAATAATCTGGTTTTGGTTCCTCTGTTTTCCCTTCTCGCTGTGTTCTCTCTCTGTGTATACGTATGTGTTCCTTGAGGGTAGGAAGCGCCGATCAAAGAGCCGTCTAACAGTGCATTGTTCAAATAGAAACAGACACGAACAGAGAATTGAAAGATTATTTATTAAACTGATCCGAGCAAAAAGGAAGAGCGATCGCTTGTTTTTCTGCGCTCCTCCACGTCTAGACCTGAAGGACGACGCGAATGCTGAAAATGGGATGAGAAGGTAGATATTAGAGGATTTTTTTTTTCTTCTTAAGGCTTACAACACATTAGTGACACAATCAGCGCTTGTATCTGAGTGAAGGCCTCTCTCGGTGCAAATTGTTGCGTAAGTCCCGTCTTCACCATTCATCTCATCCCAGCTTTGTCCTCAACAGAGGGCAGCAGTGACGCATGCTTTTTTTTTTTTTTTTTTAAACAGATAAAACCCGGAGGGACTCGAGAGCATTACACACTTTAACATAACAAACAACTTCAGAATGTATCTGATATCAAGGCTTACCATTTCCCAGCATGCATCAGATCAAAACCCTCGGTGATCTTCTCAAAGGGCAGAGTGTGAGTCACAAATTCATCCACTTTCAGCTTCTTGTTCATGTATTCCTCCACCAGCTTGGGAACACTTTCCACACTCTTGTATCCTGGGAAAAGAGAAGTTTCATTATTTAGTAGAGAAAAGTAATGAATTTAATTGTTTCTTTCAATTCTCAAAAAACATGATATATATGCTACCAAAGTACCAATGTGCATATTTGAATATGAACCTGATAGTATGTTTGCACGAAAGCATCTCTTTGTAGTCAATTTGTGCCTTTTTTTTGTCACTTGTGTCTTTTTCTGGTTGTTCCTACAGTTCCTTGTTACAATGCATGTGAATGTGTTTCTGTTGAATCACCTCTGAGACTACATTGGATGTGGTATCTCCTAACAGTCAGCTGGAATTACCTCCAAATGCAGTGCCTTTCCAGGTGCGTCCAGTCACCAGCTGGAAGGGTCGGGTGGAGATTTCTTGTCCGGCTGCTGCCACCCCGATAATGACGCTAGTTCCCCATCCTTTATGACAGGCCTCTAGGGCTGCCCTCTGCCACCGGGAGACAATATGAAGACACTGTCACCTCAGCCTGATCCTAACTGCACCTGGCTACAGCTTTGATTATTGCTCAGCTTTGTTACATGTCTGGATTTTGCACAACGAAAGATTCTCTTCTTTCTAAAACACAAGTATCAATCAAACTGGTTTGCTAAACCAGAATTATGAACTCACCATGATTGCCACATTGCCCACACATTCAAAGGAGTAGTCCACGCCCCCATCTGTCATTTCTACAAGGACTTCCTGGATTGGCTTGCTGTGGTCTTTCGGATTCAGGACATCTGTGGCCCCAAACTCTCGAGCAGTTTTAAACTTGTCTGGGTTAAGATCGATTCCAATAATTCTGGCTGCGCCGGCTGCTTTACAGCCCATGATTGCTGCAAGGCCCAGGGCCCCGAGGCCGAACACTGCACAGGTGGACCCTGCCTCCACCTGCAAGATCGTGGTGAAGCCAACACAGGTCAGAACATCTTTGCAACTTGTAATACATTACACAGATCAGTCAGGATTTGTATTGTAGGGATCAAAAACGCTCTAAAATTTTCTGTCTGTTTGACACATTTTGAGATATTTCATATTTCATTTCAAGGCATCAACAAATTCAGTAGAATTCATACATTTCATCCAAGAATGATGAAATCCATGACAGTCATTGCAATAGTGGTTGAGATACTTAAGTCGCGATGGATACAAAGATTTAAAAAGATTTCATATTTCAACAGACCTCAATAAAAAAGAAGAGGCATACCGCATGAATTCACTCTTGTATGCAGCAGATGATGTATTAGCAGTTCTACCACTGACTGATGCAGACAAAAAGATCTATGAAGCTGTCAGCGCAGCGTTTGAACAGCACTACACAGGAAAACACAATGTAAGCTTTGAGAGACTACAGTTAAATAACAGGCGTCAGCAGGATGGAGAGGCTGTAGAGGCACGCATCACAGCTGTGCACAAACTTGCAGAACATTGTGGCTTTGGAATACTGAAAGAGGAGCTCATGAGGGACTTGTGGGAGTTGTGGTTGGGATAAGGGACAAAAAAAATTGTCTGAACAGCTGCAAATGGACTTAACACTCGCAAAAGCCAAACAAAAAGTCAGACAATGTGAAGCTGTTGAAGAAACAGCAAACAATGTTGCACAGCAGTGCAATGGGGGACAACAGGGCAAATATGGACGCCATCAGCACCACGAAAAACTGGAAGAAACAGAAATGACAACAAAAGCCAAATAGTCAAGTTCAGAAAGAGTACATCTGGTGCGGTCGAAAGAAAATGCACTTATGAAAAGACTGCCCTGCTGGAGGTGTAGACTGTAAGAAGTGTCGAAAAAAAGGGGCATTGCTGTAGCCTGTCGCTCAGGTGAAGCAGTAGAACTACGCAAAGTTACAGAAATTCAAGATGACACAGAAATTAAGGAATATTTTTTCCTGGAAGAAATAGAAACAGAGATTTCTGAACCATGGATAGGAAAAGTCCAGTGAAATTGTGAAGATGTTGATTAAAGCTTGACTGTGGGGCAGACGTCACCAGAGAGATTATGCAAACCAGAAAGAGATGGTAGTCTGGAAAAACCAAAAAAGAGACGACTATGGCCACGCAGATATGATGTATAAAGCTTTTTAAAAGCAGAAATGGCAGAAAAAGGGTGCACTACCTCTCAGAACAAGTTCACACACATGATAATCAGCCCACGTTACCGTCAAGCAAACGGAGAAGCAGAACGTGTGGTTCGGACCATCAAGGACTTAAAAAATACACTGATCACAGCAGAGCACTGATGGCATACAGAACCACTCCGTTGGAGCATGGGTTCTCACCGGCTCAGCTGCTAGTGGGTAGAAACCTGCGCACCTCGCTACCCCAACCTACAGCAGAGCTGGATGGGCCAGATCTGTGGGCTTTTTGTAGGAACGATGAGGAGGGAAGGAGGAGGCAGGCAACACACCACAATCAGAGACACCGCTCAAGACCTCCCAGAACTCACTTCAGAAGGTCTGGATCACCACAGAAGGAACTACAGGAGCAGTCGTGAGACCAGCCAATATTCCAAGATCATACGTAGTAGAGACTGACAGGGGTCTGTATTATCAGTTCAGAATTGTTGGTAAAAGTGCACCAAGTTCATGTGTTGTTCAAAGGTACAATCAGTTAATAAGTGTTGATAAAAGCATACCGCGGTTGTATGAGTTGTAAAAAAAAAAAAAAAAAGAACATGGGTTCAGGATGAAAGAAATGTGTTCTTAAAAGGAAAACACATCTTGGACTTGTACCAACAGTTTATTTGGTAAGAATATGACTTCAGCTAAAAGGAGGAGACGTAGTGGCTGCTGTTCCCATAATGCAATGAGTATACTATGCTATGTTCAAGTTTTTCTCAACATACAATCAAAGAATGTAAGAGAATAACTGACCTTAGCAGTGTTCAGAGCAGCTCCGTAGCCAGTGGTGATACCACAGCCCAACAGACACACCTTGTCTAGAGCAGCCCCTGGGTGCACTTTGGCCAGAGAGATCTCAGCTACCACCGTGTACTCAGAGAATGTGCTGCATCCCATGAAATGGAAGAGGCTCTTCCCTTTGCAGGAGAACCGACTGGTTCCATCTGGCATCAGGCCTCTGCCCTGAGTGATCCTGGAGAACAAAACCCAGAACAAATTGTTCACAGGGTCTGCAAGTAGACTTGTGTGTTAGTCTACACAGATGCATAGAGAAGCTTCAACCCACAACATTTACCTGATCTTTTGACATAAGTTGGTTTTGGGGTTCCTACAGAACTTGCATTCTCCACACTGTGGGACGTACAAGGGTATCACAGTGTCTCCTGAAAATACAAGCACAATGGTACATTTTTAGCTCTTTCATTGCAGAAATCTTTGAACTACAGTCACCAAGTGCTATCAGGAACACCTACAGACTACTAGTTATGTTGCAGACACGCAGAACATAAAATCCTCCAGATACAAGTCAGGAGCTTCACTTAATGTTCAAATCAAACATTAGAAGGGGGCAAAGTGCCCTCAGTGACTGACTGTAGCACATTTGCTGGTTACAGGTGGCACAGTGTGACAGTGGTTAGCTCTGTCACATCACAGCAAGGCGTTGAACCTGCTTTTCAGCTGGGTCCTTTCTTTGTGTGTTTGATTAATTGGTGATTCTAAACTGGCTGTAGGTGTGAGTGTGAACAGAGAATAATACTTGTGAATGTGGCGTCAACGGCATTAATTCATGGATTCAACCTGCCTTATGTCAACAGTCCAAACTGCTGCTGGTATAACAGTGAGAGGAGCGCTTTCTTACTACTCATGGTTCAAACACCACGCCCTATCTGAGTATTGCTGCTGGCCATGTGCATCCTTTCATGGCTATGGTTTATCGTCTTCTAAAGGCTACGTCCAGCAGGAAAATGCACAAGTTCACAAAACAAATGTCAAACTGGTTTCAAGAACAAGATAGGGATTTCTGTGGGCTTCAACAACCCTCCCAGTCACCAGATCTAAATCCAGTAGGCCCTCTGAGATACGGTAGAAGCGGAGATTGGCAGCATGAATGTGCTGACGAATCAGCAGAAATTCTACGTTGCAGTGGTGTTAACAAGAAATGAGATCTCAAAGGGAAAGTTCCCAACATCTGTGAAAACCACCTCAGTTATACGCTCATATGTTGTCATTTATTAACATGTTACTCATCTATCAGAGAAACAAAACGTCTTCTCGGACTAAACCTGACGGCTGCTTTCAGTAACATGAAGTGCGTGTTACATAAGTGTGGTTAAAAATAGAGAACTCAGGCCCTTGTGAGGCATTCTCATCTGAAGAAGCTCTTTGTCATCATATGAAATGTACAGTTTCCCCATAGTTTCACCTGTTGAACCATTCGAATAAGCCAATGAAGGAAAAGTTGTGTGTTCCCCATCATGCTATAAATAAACCCTCATTCTTGTGCTTTTCTTTAAGAAAAAATGCTGGACAAATTCTACCTTTCTCCTTGTTGTAATGGATGCATTTACCAAGCAACCTGTCAGCGTTCATCCATGACACATCTTATTGAATCCATAAGAGCTGAGGCGCTACCAGATGATATTACGGTGTTCCTAATAAAGTGCTCGCAGTGAGATAAGTGAACCTGGTTGAAACTTGGTGACTCCCTCTCCGACACTCTCCACGATGCCGGCTCCCTCGTGGCCCAGCACCACAGGGAAAACTCCCTCAGGGTCGGAGCCGCTCAGCGTGTAGGAGTCAGTGTGACAAATCCCTGTGGCCGCAATCTGGAGAGAAAAAAAAAAAAAGGGTTCTGATCTGATCCGTGCTCAGACTGATGCAAAGGTTGAAGCACACCTCAGAGTCTATCAGCTATACAGCAATAATATAAGGGACTTTTTCTTGTTTTTTTTTTACAGCATATACGGTGCAAAGTACAATGTAGTATCAGACTGTATATACACTAAATGAGGGGAAAAAAACATTATAGATAAGTCTGTGACAAGAGTGACTGATTATAGGTAAAAGTGCCTATATAGAGGTACAGTGGTTATTATATTGACATAAGAATGAGTCACAGAGTTGCTTTAACCTATTGCAAATAAAGTACCGTCTCTTTGCTCCAACAGTTTTTATCCCATCCCTGTGCAAATGTGAAATCAAACCTGGCAGCTCTGATCTGTTACCTTGAGCCGAACCTCCCCAGCTTTTGGACACGCCACCTCCACCTCCTCCATCACCAGAGGTTTCCCAGCCTCCCATGCTACTGCAGCTTTGCAGCGGATCACCTACGACACACATTCCAAGAGCTTCAGCTGGTCTGGCGTCGCTCAACACCGACAACTCTCTGGACATTTAACTCTATCGGCGCTACAATGGAAGCAGCAAATTACATCTTGCGTGTTTAGTGCCTGATGATAGAAAAACTGGAACAGCAAGTGTTTCTTGGTCTGTTTGTCAAGTAAGTTCCATATAGTGGAACTTTGACCTTTTTCTGCTCCCTTGTGTAGACATTTTGCGACAACAGGAAGCCTGAAAAAGCACTTAAGCTGAGAGTCCACCAAGAGACACAGACAACTCGCATTACCTTCTCTATTGTCTATTATAGATTGTGAAACGGAGTGCAGCAGAGGGACTGGTAAATGCTCCAGTGAAGAAAGGATTCAAACCCCCTCCCCGTGTCCTTCCTTGTTTACTGTAGACATTCCCGTCTGCTGCACAAACACTTAACTGAGCAGGACGAAATGTCCTGGCAATCGAGCAGTGCTGTTGTGTTGAGCGCAAATCCATCACACATTCACAAAAGTTAACTTTCCTATTATAATTACATGTGACGTGAAGCCAGTGTTCCTACCTTTCCTGCAGTTGCCATGCTGTTTCACATCCGCACTCTGACTCGTGAGGTTAAGTTAGCGTGCCGGTCTTATCAGCAACCAGTAACAAAGGGGCCCAGCCTCTGTGGGCTGAGCCAGAACGCCCACTGGCTTCCTTACAGATAAGAGAGATATACGTAAACAGCAACATAAGGAAAATGAGCTTTTTCAGTCATTTGTAGAACAAAAATATACATTTAATAAAGAAAAAAACTACTGCAGAAACAGGAGCATGCTAGATCAATGTATTTTGGTGGTTAGACTCCAGATAGAAGCAACATCGTAGACTGGAGTCCAGACCAGATAAAGGTAGAAGAGAAAGACAGGATCCCCCAAAGAAAACAAAAAAAAAAGCCTTTCCATGAAACAGATAAAATTAGGATGCGAAACAGGTCATTCATCCATCCATCTATTTTCTTTCTTTCCCCCAGGGTTGGGTTGTGGTGGCAGCAGGTGAGGCAGGCAATTGCAGACCCCAGCAATGCTCTCCAGCTCCCCCTGGGGAATCCTAAGGCGTTCCCAGGCCAGATGAGAAATGTATTCAATCCAGCAGGTTCTTGGTCTAGCCCAGGGTCTGCTCCCAGTTGGATGTGCCTGGAAAAACCTCCAATGGAAGGTGCACAGGACATCCAGCCACTCTCCAGGAGTTTGGTTCCAGAACCTTTGCTACGTGTGAAGGTGAGCCCAATGATATCCAGTAAGCATGTTTCATGTCCCTACGACCACCAGGGGTCAGCAGGCCCAGGTTCTCAGCCCTGCCTGTCTCCTGGTCCACATTGCACCCAACCCTGAGACCGATCCCTGCAGGTGGTAGGCCACTGGATGGCGGCCTTGTGTAAACTCTTAAGGCTGCACCCAACCGCGTCCCATGGATCAAGGCTCAGCCACCAGATGTTTGCCAACAAACATCTGAGATGAGATTGGTGCTCCTTGTAAATAAGTTCACAAAGATTCTTTAAATTGCCCGTAGTCTGGTCTTTCTCCTAGGACCAGTTTGCCTTGTGAGGCTATTGCCCCCAACAATACAGGTCCAAGGATCAGAGGGACACACAAATCCCTCTGCTGTGATAAGTTGGTAGTTGTTCAGGTGGAAAAGGGGGTCAGACAAAGACCATCTAGACACAGAGGCCGAATTAAAGAAATGCAAGCTTAAGATTGGTTTGAGGCTATCAAAAGCCAGAATTAAAATGAATTTAAAGAACGGGGTCTAGAAGCTGATTCGCTGAGAGAACGGCGGCAGATACATCATTACACAGGAGCAGTGAGTCTGAAATGTAGAATGAAATAATTTTGACAGCATGTGAAAATGGAAGTGACAAAGAGAATTGAACAGCGACAGCCGGTAATCACCACAAGAAATGGAGACTCAGTATAATATATAATTACAGTAGATTATATTATAAATATAAGGAGACAGATCTTCTTTACTGAACTGACATGAAGAACTAAGGAGATCCTTGGTTTCTGAGGCTTGTATATCCCATTTAGAGGAAATTACATCTTGTAGGCGTTCTGCATCATTTTTAATCACTCTTCCATGCAAACTTTCTTCAGCTGCCAGATGTTGATTTCCTTGTGTGTGCTGTTAATTTCTAACCCCCCACATTTCATATGGGAGTAAATCTGGGCTTTGACTAGAACATTGTACAACCCTCTGTGTTTCTTTCCTTTGTGAGCAACTTCTTGGTAGATTTGCGGTATGTTTAGGATCATTACCCCGTTAAAAGGTCCGTGTTTGTTTCAACATCAACTTTCAGACAGATGGCTTCACATTATTTTCAGGCTCTCCTTAATGTGATGCAGAATTCATAGTTGAATTGATGACTACAAGCTGTCCAGTGCCTGAGAAAGCGATACACGCCTGACCAGAACATTTCCTTCTTCACAGTCAGTTTTAAGATCTTTTTGAAAAGCTGCATGTCAGACCTCTCTTTGATTCATCTGTCCAGATCACATAATTTCAAACAACCTGCCCTTTGTCTTTATATTCATCGGCCACTGTAGTTTTGCTCTAATTTTTATTTTTTATTTTGGATAACAAAGACTTTTCCAGGCATGCCTTAATCAACAAATTGGCAGTAGTTTGAAATCTACAAAGAGGATTTACTTTACAGTGGAATGACTTCTTTCAGATAATTTGTAGATATTTCAGATCTGTCACCAGAGCAACAAGCATCCACAACATTTTGTATATGGCTCTTCAGATGTTGCTATGATGACACCACGCACTTCAGTAAGAAAAAGAACAGCAGGCCTTGTTTGTCAGAGGATCAAATAAAATAAAATACCACCCGTCACTTCCAAAGCAGGTTCTAATCACAGGCACCTAATATGGAACCTCTGACACACATTTTGTTGGAACTAAAGGTGAGGCTTGTTTGGGTCTACTGCCTTTAGAAATGGGCATTGTTTCGCACGTTTGCTTGTTTAAACGTGTTTAAAAAGTCAACAGTGTCCACAGGTTATGCTGGTTTTTTCAAATGACTGTACAATACCTGTCAAAAGTTTGGGCACAGCTTACCATTTAAAATCTTTAATTTGAATTCTCTACACCAAAATCCATATTTCCACTGGTCTAATATCTATTCCTTCTGTTTCTAGGTTCAAGAGGTTCTCTTCTTTCTTTCTTCTTTGCAGCAGTTCCACCATGAAGGCCTGGTTCACACAGTCTGATGTTGAAATGTGTCTGCTACTTGAACTCTGGGAAACATCAACGTGGACGCTAATCTGAGTTGACATTAATTGGTGATTTCTAAGGCTGGTAACTCTAATGAACTGATTCTGTGCTGCAGCAGAGGGAACTCTTGGTCTTTCTTTCCCGGTTTGGTCCTCATGAGAATCGGTTTCAGCACAGCGATGGATTGTTTTTGAGACTGCACTTGAAAGATCTATCAATGTTCATGAAATTTTAATTACTGACTGACCTTCATGTCTTCAAGTAATGACTGACTCTTGTTTCTCTTTACTCGGCGCTGTGGTTCTTGTCACATTATGGATTGCTACAGTAGTCGCTGTGTACCAACAGTACCTCAGCACAACACAACTGATGCTCTGAAATACGTAAACAAGGCAGGAAATTCCACTAGTTAACTTTAGACAAGACTCTCCAGGTATTTGAAAACCATTCCAGGTCAGGATCTTATGAAGCTGGTTAAGATATTACTAACAGTGGCCAAGGCTGCCATCAAGGCAAAATGTAGCTGCTTTCAGGAATCATAATATAGATGTCTTTAGTATGCGGAAATGTGGAAAACAATAGAAGTTTAAAAAGGCCTTGAATGAGTAAATGTGTCTAAAACATTTAATTTAAGTCAAAATTTCATGAAAACTGTTTCGTTCTTTGACTGCAAAACCCAATATATGGACATTTCACAACAAGAGATTAAGTAAATGACTTTGCTGTTTGCTTTTTGCCATCCAACCACCCATTATCTATACACCACTTAATCCTCACTAGGGTCACGGGGGGCTGGAGCTTATTCCAACTGACTCAGGGCGAAGGCAGGGGACACCCTGGACAGGTCGCCAGTCTATCACAGGGCTACACTTAGAGACAGACAAACAAGCACACTCACATTCACACCTACGGACAATTTAGAATCACCAATTAACCTCAACATGTTTTTGGACTGTGTGGGAGGAAGCCGGAGAACCCGGAGAGAACCCACGCTGCACAAGGAGAACATGCAAACTCCACGCAGAAAGATTCCGGTGCCCCCACCGGGATGCGAACCGGCGACCTTCTTGCTGCGAGGCAACAGTGCTACTAACTGCGCCACCTTGCAGCCCTGTGTTTTACCAATTCAACTGAATTAATTTTTTAGTAAAATTAAAGACATTAGAGACTAGGTCGCCCCGGCAGAGCAACAGGTCGAGCAGGTGACCCATTAGGGGCTGAAAGTACCTGACATAGCGCCCATGGATCGAGTCCGACCCATGACTGATTGGCTGCATGTCCTTCCCCCCTCTTCTCTCTACCTTTCCTGTCTCTCTTTACTAACATCTGGAATAAAGACCAAAAAAATAACATTTAAAAGAAAATGGAGACTACAAAATAGAACTGTTAACTTTATTTAGCCTGTCACAGTGCTGTCTTATTTCTATTTAAATGTACCATATATATTTTTTAACCTCCTTCTGTTTATTTTATTTGTAATTTTAAATGATAACTGCCTGACTGTGTCATGTCAAAAGGACAGAATAAGATCCCTGTTTTTCCAAGCTGCACTGTGTGCATGGTTAGAGTTAGATGGGGATCATTCACTGGGTAAGATCCCATCTGATTTGCAAGTTCTTTTGAAATGTTTGGAAAAATCATGCAGTGCAGTTTTAAATAAAGTTCGCGCTCAGTTTGTGAAGTTTCCCCATTGTCTCATGATAATTGAAATGAAAACAAGAGATCAAACAAACAAGGCAAGTCATTCAAATTCATTCTTTCTTAAATCCATCTTAATGAGAGGAACACGGCGGCGGCTTCAAAGATTGACGTCATTAACGCAAGATTGTAACGTCTGTGGGAGACTCAGGCAGGTAAAAGTTAAAACCGACTGTCTGCACAGCTGAGGCAGGCTTGGAGCAGCAGAAGCTGAGACAGGAAAAAAAAAAGAGTGGAAACACCATGACTGCGACAGTACAAAAGTGGAAAAGGGTCGGCACATATATATTAGAGAGGCAATGAGGGGACGAGCAGCAGGTGTGCAGGTGGGCGGGGAGGTCAGGTGGTGCAGGTGCAGGAACAAATAGGTAACTGCAGGTTAAGAGGCAGCAACATGAGGTGAAAAAAAATCAACAAAAAAACAAGTGGAAGCAGATGAATGAATGACACAAACCCAAGGGAGAAGTCATGACACAGGTTATTGAATGGGATGTGCAAATTAGCTGGACTTTCATGGTTCAAACTGTAGAGGTGGACGAGGCTTTGGCAGCACAGATGCAAACTGAAGTGTGACTAGAGAACTAAATGTGTGTGCTACTCATAGATGTCTAATAGTCTGCAAATGATGCATATTAAGTAAAAATGATGGATGAAAAAAATAGCTGGGTGTCATCATTTAGCTGTTGTAAT